CAGTGTCACAAATGAACTTTGTGTCTCTGTTGTCAGAGTATGTCTATCAACAGGATAATCAAAAGCACTGAGCTTCAGCAATGTTTTAGGTTTACCTGCTCACTTTGAGCAGCTCTGTAACAGCATAACCATGAAACATGAAACCCTGGCTTGTATCTAAACGAAAATGCGGTTAGGGAAGCAGAGCAGAGCACGGCTCTCTGCACATTACGAATTAGGTAGGAAGTGGGTGATCAGCTGCTGCAGATGTTGTTGCAGGTTCTTAGCAAACCCTCTGTAAAACCCAGAAAACTTCCCAGATCTTGAATGTAGAAGTGGTGAAATGTTTTGCAGTATGATTGAAAAACATGCTGTGTTTACAGAGTAGCTCAAAAGCACTTTGCATTACAGAATTGTGATTCTTTCAAATGCAAGACTTTCTTACTGTGTAGCTGATTCAAAAATCTTGAAGTTCTTTTTTATGAAAACTATAAAAATTCATTAGGAATTTTAAAATTCTGAGCATTTTTTCCCTGCAGAATTCTTGGAGTTTCCCTGTAGTGCCTGATCATTGTCAGGTTTTCTTTAAGTTACTAAAAGAAAGAGTTGACACCGCATCAGGGATCAAAGGGAATAAGTTTTCACCAAAGGCCATACACTAAGCCAAGTGAAAAGTGGGGTAGTTTTCCTTTTAGGTAGTTTTCCTTTTTAGTCAAGAAAGAGTTTTCCACCTGTACATGCAAGAGACTGTCTTGTTTTGAAAGGGATTTTCTTACATATGTCTATGCATTTAAGGTGAAGCAGATACGACCAGAGTTAACTCAAAATGGAAGGTAGAGTGATATATACATTGCTGTTTGGTTTTAGTTTTGTTTAGAAATTTCTAATTCAGTTTTGAACCAGAAATTTCTGAGTCAAGGGAATTAATAGCTCAGATGCTACAGCCTGATACCTTAAACATCATTAGGAGTCCATTCTTTGCTGTTAATTCTGGAGTGCTTGGAGGTTGGAGGCCAGGCTAATGCATTTGGAAAAGAGTGTGTTACTGATAATATCAATACAGCTGTTCTGAGCTAACTGGGATTTCTAAGGCACTGTTTACTTTGAGAGCAGGTGCACACTGTTGCTGCAATTCAGCCAAGTATGAGAGAAATACGAATAGCTGAATCCAGACCACCCTCTCCTAGGATGGGATATTTTCCTACTTCAAGGGAGATATCAAAATTATTATTTGCCACTGTTGTCAAGTAAAAGCTCTCTGCCAAATAACCACATTTTATTGCAATACAGATTGGATTGATCAGCAGGGATTGTATCATCAGTGAATGGATGTTGAACTGCAGGTGTGAGTGCTAAAAAATGTGGCTTTTTTTTTTCTTTTACTGTTTCTGTTCTGCTCAGTCTGATAATTGGTTATTCATCTTTATCTTTGTGCCAATCTGTTGCCCAAGCACTGAGATACCCTGGTATTTAGTGAGGTGATAAACAGAGGCATGTCATTTCATCTTTGTCAGTACTGGAGCCCATATCTCCTTTGCACATGAGTCCAATTTATTTCACAATTTTGAAAAAGGGAGAACTGTCTGTGACTAAAGTACTGGTTTCCATAAGATTCCTATACCACCAAGCAGTATTTGTTGCATGTGTTACTCCAGTATAGACTCCAGACGGTGCTAGAACTTCCCTTCAGTTTTTCACTTATTTGAGTTGACATGGGAGAGGCATGGAAATTACAGAGTACCATTACATGCAGATTGATTTCTCTTGATGTAGTTGAACACAGAATATCTGGGCATAAAGGGAAGATGGGATCTTTCTCTAGATGTCATATGAGCACCAAAGAGGAATTAGTATTTCCTTCTCACAAGCCAGGAATGGCAAGGGTCAAAGTCACAAGTTTTGCTTCAAGACAACTTCAGTGTCTTGAACTTCCTGGTAAATAAACATTCTCCAAGAATGTAGGTGACCTTTTGGTCTCTGCCCACTTTGAAGTTGTTTGAGAAGGTTATCTTTCAGTGTTCTATGCACAGTTCTACTGTAAGTGCTGAAGATCTGGTCATGATTAAAGAAGTTTAATTACACAAGCAGCAGTGTAATGGGATATTTGGGACGCTCTGTGTACAGTTGCTATGGCAACAGCTAAGTTCCTCTTAGCTGCTCTACAGCTGCAGACCCTGTTCATCTGGTCTTTTATCTCTTTTTGAAGGACTTCAGTTTCTGCATCTGTTTATTCAGGGCAGCACAGCATGTAAAAAAGCTCAGTCCTAAGAAGAGGTGAGAGGCTACTTGGAAACTGAGGTCTTAATGGTCAAAGCTACCATCCAGTGATCACCCCTAACATTGTTTCCTGTGATGAGAGTGCTCTAGGTGCATGTGAAGCCAGAACGTACTTTCAGTTTGAATTCTTGATCTAAATGTCTGCAGCTGGCTGCAGTTCCACTACCTGCACAGAGCCTTTCCAGGTTTTCAGAGTACCAAGTGTTCCAGATACAAAAAAACCCACCAAAACCCAAACAAATCAACAAAAAACCCAACAAAACCAACCAAACAACAACAAAAAAAAACCCAACCAAAACCAAAAAACCAAAACCAAACCAAACCAAACCAAACCAACAAAAAACAAACCTGGAATCAAAATTAAATGCTCCATTGAAACAGGAAAAAACACATTATTAAAATTTTATTATAGTTTTGCCACATTAGGCCTGATTATAACATATTTTTTATACTGCTTGTCACCTTCCTACCTAACTCATCCCACTATTTTCAGTATTCGAATTAAAGCATTTTACACCTACATCAGTCTCAGTCTAAAACTAAGCATAGCAAATTCCATCTTTAAAGGCAGAGAAGAGTCTGTTCTGACAGTTAGACAATAAAGAGCATTATTTCTGTTATTATGATGATCACTTAGTTACTGTTAGATTACAGCAATGTACACAAAAATAACAAATCGCTCAGCCCTTTTACTTAAAAATAAGCACTGAATCTAAAATGCATGTGGTGTCCTTTCCTGGCCCAGTTTCCTATTGCCTGGATTTGGCTTCCAAGGCATATAAGATGAGAGAAGTGTTATGCACTGAGACTTGGGCAGAATTTTTACCTTAGTCCTACAAACTAATCACAATGAAGTAACACAATATGATGATATAATGCTTTTATGCATATACACAACACTCAGTAAGGGTAACAGAAATCTAACCACAGAAAAACTATACAGGACACCTGTTAAAACACAAAAATAAATTTGAGAGTAAGTTTACATGGTTTTTATGAAAAAAAAAAGAAAAGAAAAGAAAGAATAAACCCTCTTTCTGGTTGCTTTCTTTGGCTAGAATCTAGAACTCAGCTGCAGATATATGTTTAAATTGTAAGTGCTATTCATTTTTATAAGGGGTTTCAGAACAATAAGAGATCATAGCTGATGAAACCTGTGGATGAATAAAGCCTGTGCTATCACGTCATCCTCAGAGACCCAGATGCAGGAGCAGTCGTGTAACTTTGGCTCATCTAAGCAAAATTTGCCTTTACTCAAATGCAAGCATACATGTTGAATGAAGAAATGTGCTCCTTAACAAAAACACAAAAGAATCCACGTGTTTAATCAGCAGTGTTGGGGCTATTAGTACTTTGCTGTTTAAGTAATGAAGGAACTCAACAGGTTTCAAATGCACCCTTGTTGATATGTATGTTGACAGGTTGGTCCATACAGCCATGAAGCAAAACTTACCTATATATTTTTGAGTTCTTTCATAGCAAGTAGACAAATTGTCAAGGCTTTGTAATTTCACTTGGATTTCCATGTGGCACATGAGAGGTCCTTCTGAATGTTATCAATTCCCCTCTTCCTGTCTATCCAAAGTTAGGATCTCAGACACCTCAGCAGCTAAAAAAAGCTCTTTAAGTAGTTTTTGTAATGTTATGTCTTGATATTAAACATTAATAAGTATTTGTTGTTGTATTGTGTTTAAGGCACTTTTTTCCCATGGTGTGAGCGTTTCCTTTCTTGACAAGATTTTAATCTTAACTATACAGGTGTGAACTTAAAGAAAATCTCCAGAAGAGAAAGGGGTTTCTTTTCACTTGCAGTTGGTTTTAACTGAACTCTGAGTTTCCTTTTTCCTTCTGTTCTCCTCCTCCTTGGGTTTTCTTTGGCTTCCCCCCATGTGGCTGAGGACAATTCTTTCTGGGTAGCTTTTAATCCATTAATGATACTTCACACAAAATTCTAGGTTTAACATCATGACATCCAAACAAGTGATTTAATTTTATTTTGTTGAATAAGTTCTCCTGACATAAACTCTCAAAGCAATGGTTACTTTGGTTTGGTTGTGGCTTGTACAGGGAGCATGAACTCAGTGCAGCACACATGAACACCAGCTCACTCATGAAATTATGGCTTCTATGCATGGTGCACAGCAGCATCATTTTTTTAAGACTACACCTTGCTGTTGATGGGGTAGCTTCTGTGCAGCTTCTTAAACTGCCACTTTTCTAATGGAGGCTTGCTAGAAAATTAAGTCCAGCCTTTTACAACTTCCGTTAAAAACATATTTGAAGATGTTAAGGAACATGTACATCTCTTAATAAGGGCCCAAATATCTTTTCATCACTCATCCCTTCCCTTAAAACTCTGAGAAAGCAAAAGTCATCAAGAGTGCATAAGTCACATGAAATTCTGCAGCTAGTCTTTTCTAGCAAACTGTGGAATTATACTACAATTTATTTTCAAAGCACAGGCACTTATATATACTGGATGGCCTGTGAAACTTTTGCGTCTTGTTCATGTCTTGGCAAAGACTTTTACAAGACCTTGTGCAGGCAGTACATTCTTCTGTGCAGAGCCTCTTCCTCTCTACTCCTGCAAGATAATGCAACAAAGATATATAAGAAGCAGGTTCAACAAAATATATTTGCACTAGGATGTGCTCAGTACTGATATTTTATCCAATACTTCATGTAATACATAGCAAGGCTATGTCCTCAGCTTCATACATTCAGTCCTTTCTTCTTTATTTCAGTACCTGGAAATGAAGGTGTCAAACTGACAGGATCTTTCGTATTTGCCCCACTGGCGCCTCTACAAGATCGCGCTGCACAGTTTCCATCCCCTAAACCAATCTCTCACCCAGACCTGGAGGTTATGGAAGCTCCCAGTCTGCCTCCCAGAAACATCAAGCCCAGCTCTGTAATAAGGTAAGTGAACATAAACCTCAAGGTCTTTATTGTTTTACCTTTTTCTGGCTATTACTTTGCTCATGCAGCAGCAGATGAAGGCTGCAGTGGTCCCAGGTTTCTGGGGGAGTGAAGTCTTGCTACTTTCCTTGTCCTGCCCTGGCCCTGGCCTGCCTGCAATTATTTTTTATTAATTTGAACCTTTCCTCTATTCAGCTGTTTTCCTGAATTGCCTTATCTATAACAACACTTTTTTTGCCCTGTTGGAGAGGCGGGGGGAGGGGAGTTGAACAAAATGAGGTTTTATTCCAGACCGGTTGAAAGACTTCATACACAAGTAGAAAACCAGTTGCAATAAATAACTGAAGGTTTACCCTGCATTTTTCTGGGGTAAGAGAGCAAGGAGAGTCATGCCTATGAGTCAATAGCCCAGGAAGCAACTTTGCAAACCAGAAGAACTGAGCTCAACCCTGATTGTGAAGCTGCATCACTGACACATTGTGGCCTCGTGATAACTCTGAGAAGCCTCTGTCAATACGGGGCTCCTTTCTTTATCCTTCTTTGAAGAGTTGCATACAAAAGTGGAACCTCCTGCTGACAAAGAGTTATAAGTACTTCGGTCTCATGTCAAAACTGACTGGAATCAAGTTGAGCATGAATAAGGAGCTGCTCTCTGGCCAGCAGTTACCACAAAGAGCAACAAACAACAGGCAGGAAGAGTTAGAGACGTGTGTGCCAGTACAGCACATGTGTCAGTTTGGCCACAGTGACAGCATCAGTCCGGCCTCAAGGCCACAGTACCTGCAACAGCCATCCTGGGTATCCTCTTCTTCGCTTCAGGGACACGAGAAATTCACCTCCAGATGGCCCTTCTGGTCTTCCATTCCTTTGTGCCCTCTGGGGTCTCCCCTCCGCTGAAAACCTGTGCCTGGGTGCTGACACCTGTGCTTTCACCTGTCTCTGTGCTTTTGCTATCAGGCCAATTTTAGAACATCCCATTCTGCTTCAAAGTCCTTTTTTTGATTACCCTTCCTTGATGATCACTGTCAGGCCTAATTTTCTTTCAGCTGTTACAAGACATACTAAAGTTAAAAGACCCTGATATTACTAGTTATATTCTCAATTTTTTGGTTGTCTCAGCTGGACAGCACTTTTAAATCTAACATCAGAGACCTTTTACCTGGCCTAACCTTACACCACTGCTTCTCTTGTCCCTTGTTTAGACTTTAAGCCCCACAAGCCAAGGACTAGTCTCAGAGCTGTATTTAACACTGAGCAAAAGTCTGGCGTTGTGCTCGTGTATCGTGTAAGAAGCCTGCACCTGCAAGGATAGTTAAAAAGCCCAACAGATTTTTTTTTTTTATTCTGTCAGCCCATCTGCTGATTATATTCTTCATATCACAGTCATCTTCTTGGTATCTGACTGCCTTTGGCTCATTTTGATCTGTGTGTGATAGTGGGATTCTAACAACCTCAAGATCAAGGTGTCCCCATATGAAACCCCAAGACACAGTCAGGAAGAACAATTTAGAGAATCTTGTTTCTACCAAGTAGGATATAGGGCTCAATAGACTGTCCAGCCATTGTATAAAATAGATGGAAAAAGCAGTAGGACAAAGATGAATGAAAATATAATCACAAAACCACCTTCATAGGTTTCACATGTCCACTTTTTTATACTTACAGAAATCCAGAGAATGAAGAAAATTATGATGATGTGGAATTTGTTTCACAGGGTAAGTTGCATGCATTTTAATCAGTGACAACTATGAAAAGTTGTAAGAAAGTTGTATTTATAAGATAAGCAAAAGAATATTGTTTTCTGTGCATGACTTGTGTAACTAATAAACTGGTTCTGCAGTTTTATGGGTGAAGATGGTTGTCTCATAACACTAACTGTTCTACTGTTCTATGATTAATATGACAGACTTTCAGGAACTGCTTTAAATAACTTCCCTCTTACCTCCATCCCGCCTTTCTTTTTTTTTTTTTTTTTCCTCATTAGCAATATGTCAGGACTGTAAATTACCAGATTTTTAAATCTGAACCAAAATGAATGCTGCGCTTTCAGACCTGAAGCTGTGTGGTCTGGTGAAGGAGGCACTGCTTTATACTTGCTAAAAAAAAAATAAAAGTTATTGACTGTGCTTTTAATGTTGCTTTGTGGTCTGCCTCAGTTAGAGGCAGTGAGTCACTACGTTGTACCAGGAGCAGCAGAGAAGCAGATTGTGACACAAAGAATTTCAATCTGCCTTCTGATCTCTCGTTGGGGGGAGTCAGTCTGTGCCAGGCACAGTGTGCTTCATTTAGTGTGCTGGCTATCCCTGACGGACAGCAATGCAGGATGTGGAGCTGAAACCGAGCTTGTCTTACTTAACTCCCTGCAGACTAAGGAGGAAGCAGGAGAGTCACAGAGCTGCTTCTCCTGCAGCCCAGGGCAGACACTGCCTTAGCCAAAAAGCCTTTGGCCTCCTTATTCAGCTGTGGGGCTGGTGCAAACAAGTTCTTTGAGATCTGTTTGGATTTCTTAGGTTTTTAACAGTGACTTTCTCATATAAATATGCATTTTTGTAAACAAATAGCATAGGAAAATTTTTCAATGTCACTAAAGAATCTTTAAAACAATTTTTCCACTTTTAAAATACAGGGTTAAATACGCTCTTTGTAGATAATTTTATTTTAGAGTGTACTACAAAAGAAATTTAGAAGAACTCTGATTTTTGCATTCACAACCTCATTAAAAACCTGGAGTTGCACATACTTCTGGTCAATATCACTTGTATTTTTAGCAGTTTAAAACAGTTAATGTTACAATTAATTGTTTTGTGTACAAGAAAAAATAAATACCTTTTTTTTTTTTGTACAAGAAAAAATAAATACTTTGTTTTTATTTTTTCTCCTATAGGTCATGGAAGTACACAGGGGGTAAGTGCTATTCTCCAAGATAAACCCATCATTTTTAGCAAAAAACTTCCAAATTTAATAAAACCCCTTAAATACATTAGAAAATTAATTGCAGAATTGATCCAGTATATTGACAGTAAGTTATAGAAGCACTTACTTATTGTGAAGGACAGAAATAAATTCAGGTAAGCAGAATAAACCAGAACTAATTTTCAAAGATGGCTAGACACCAAAAATTTATTAAGGAAAAAAAAAAGAGGCAAATTACACCTTCTAATACTAAAATTTTCTAGAAACAAGGATCCTGCTGCATTCTATTTATAGAGTATTTCAGTTAATATTTCAGTTAAGCATAGTTTTATATTGGTATGCTTAAGTACCTGATTGTAGGAGGACTAAAATTGTCTCTTGGACCCTAATCTGAGCCCCATTTAGATCCTTAGCATTCCAGTTTAAATAGTGCAGACTCTGACACCTTCATCATAGCAGTGCAACCATCAGCACAGATGAAGATTTTCCACGACTAACTTTGCAACTAAAATGTCCACTTTGGATTAAGCAGTGTGCTAGTGTGATTCTAACAGTCCAGAACTTCATAGTTGTGGTATTGTAAAAACAAAGGCAGGGGAAAAAAGAATAGTGGGATTGTATAATGTAGTAACTTGTTTTGGGAAGATTAAAGTAATTTTTATTTGCATTTTGCTATAAATGTTTTTCATACAGTTTATATGAAGCTTACCTAGCAGGCTCAGTTTCTTCATCTCTTTCCAATTGTACTTAGACCATTTAAAACTCGGTTGCTTTTTTGTTGTTATTTTGGAGGTTTTTTTGTTGTTGTTTTTTTTTTTTTTTAGGACCAAGAAGGTGATATAGAGATGTATGAAGACATAAATGACATCAGGTAGTAATTTTAAACTCCATAACCTATTGTATCTTTATTACTATCTTTGTTAACAAAGATATTTCATCTGGCACAGAAGTGCCATTCCACTGCAGTCCCTGCCAGGGATTATTTTGTTCATTCATTTCACCTGAAGAAAGTCCAGTTGTTCTAAGGTCCTTTTCTAGTTAGATCTGCCATGCCCCATGCTGGAAAATCTCCTGTAGTGAACTGATGTGGTTACTGTGATTGAGGTAACAGAAGTCTGATTTCTGATCTAAGGAACATGCCTGAACCACCCGTTGGAATTACAGTCTAGGAGGAAAAATAAGCTCAGCCCAAAGTACCATGGTACCAGATGGATCTTTTGCTGTGGTTGTTTTCTTGCTTTTCAGATAGATGTTCCCCAAACTCCTGTGGGAGGCTGGATTGACAATTTTCATTGCCTGAGTACACTAGCCAGAATACAAGCTCTCTTATTCTTCTTCCATTTAGACCTTTACTTTGAGGACTCTTTTCCCTGGTAATATCTAAATGTATGGGATTTACTGCATAACAATAGCCAAAGAAAAGCTCTAATTCTCTTTGAATAAGTAATAGATGTAGAATACTTCAGATTTAGAGTGGCTTCCAGCAAAAATTTATTATCCCTTTACAAATAAATGATTTTAATGCATTTTATAACCCAAACAAATGGTCTTCAGTCAGTTTACCAAAACTATCCTAAAAAAGGAATGAAACTGCTACCGGTTTCTAAGCTTGCTCAACACAGTTAGCTCAGGGATATTTGGACACACACATGTAGACCTGGTATTTTACTTCCAGGTAACCTTTCCTGGTGTGCTGTCCTCTTAAGGACAGCCACTTTAAATTATATATGTAATAAAGGGTTCCTTACCCTACTTGTTGATGCTTCACTAGGTTTTAGAATCCATAGCTTTCATTTCTCTTGGAGAAGTCTTTTTTCATCACATGTAATTTTTTATCAACCTTGGGTAAAGAAGCTCCAGGGAAGATTTGCTTCACACATTCATTCCTGGCAATGCACTTTCAGATCATCAAGGGAAAAAGAGAAGAAGCAGAATAAAGAAGATAAGAGAAGAATGGAGCAGGAGAAAAGAGAACAAAAGGAAAAGGAAAAGAAAGAATTGGAATTAAGGAAGAAGTTCAAAGTAAGCCTTTTTTTTCTTTTTTTTTTTTTTTTTCCTTTTGTAGTCTGGCCAAAGACATGTGAGAAGGATTATTTAGCATTGTCTAGTTCAAAATACACTTATCATCTAGCTAGAAAACTATTTGTTATGGTAGGTAGTTCAAATACCTGGGTAAAATCTGAATTAAGTTTTAAACTAGCAAGTATATGTTTGGCATATGCTTGACTTCAAGCTCTGCACTGATGACAAGGGCTTTGTTCAGTGCTTTTACAATTTTCTTTAAATTATCTTTTTACCTTTCTTCTATGTAATATATATATATATAAAGCCTTAAAAACATTTGTTTTCACTTTTCTGTTTTTAGTGATTTGCACCATTAGAATACCATCAAAAGTCTTTAATAAAAGTGGGAATTGTATCCCATACATATTTAGTGTTACTTGCTTTACTATAGTCAGATACAAAAGTATCCAGCCCTGGACAGATTTCAAAATTGCAGCATATTGCCCTTGCACTTGGCATAAAGGTACCTAAATGGATATTCAGCTTAAATGGGGAGGAAGTGAAAAGAGCATGTGAAGAGGAGCTAAAGTCTGTGTCTCAGGCTAAAGGATAAAACAGTTCTTTCTGTTATAAATAATATTTATATATCTGGTGGTCAGCATGCTCCCATAGTTTGCAGATCAGCCAGTCAGTTTCTCTAAACTAATGTCTGTTCACAATACTCCACTGTGCTGTTTTCAGTGTCATTGTACATAGTGGGTAGCTTTGTTTCATTTCCTGTTACTCTCAGTACACAGTAAAGCCACGCTGATTGTCTCATATTGAAGCCTTGGTCTGCTGTGGAGAGACTGGCATGAGCCAATAAGCAAATTTTAAAGAACCACTTAGTTAATAACAGTGGGTTAACCACTCCTGTAAAGTGTAGGTATTAGTGCACAGAATGCTTTTAGCTTCCAGACTGCTGTCCTAAAGCCATTAAGGAATGTTATTATATTTAAATGCAAACAAACATATTTTAGTTGATATTTTCTTTCACATTTATTTGTCACCTACACACCTATATTCCTGAGGTAGTCTCTAATTGGCAAGAGCAATATGCATCTGAAAGGTCATATATATCTTAAAGTCACAAATACTACAATCCAAAATGGTTCCTCCATATTGTAACAAAGAGATCCCACAAAGCAAACCCTAAACTTCAGTAAACAGTGTGATCACCTCTTGTGAGTACTTGCAAGACCATTTATAGAGAAGAATAGTAAACACGGGGGATTATGTGGCAGATTCTTTAATGTTAACGAAATTTACTCATGTTATTTGTATCAGCAATAGTGTGGCCAGCAGGAGCAGGGCAGTGAGTGTCCCTTTGTACGTGGTACTGGTGAGGCCGCACCTTGGATCCTGTGCCCAGTTTTGGGCCCCTCGCTACGAGGAAGACATTGACGTGCTGGAGAGAGTCCAGAGAAGGGCAGTGGAGGTGGTGAAGGGTCTGGAACACAAGCCTTATGAGGAACAGCTGAAGGAGCTTGGGGTGTTCAGCCCAGAGAAAAGGAGGTTCAGGGGAGATCTTATTAATCCCAGCATGTACCTGAAAGAAGGCTGTAGTGAGGTGGAGGTTGGTCTCTTCTCCCATATAACCAGGATTAGGACAAGAGGAAATAGCTTCAAGTTGTGCTGGGGGATGTTTAGTTTGGATATTAGGAAAAATTTCTTCTGTTGAGCTCAATGATCTTAGAGGTCTTAGAGAACCTAAAAGAGATTCTGATTTGGGGAGTGGTTCTGCTGGAAATACATGGAGATGTGCACTGGAATTAAATACATCTGTTTTGTAAACTCATGAAAGGCTCCACAGTTAGTTTGTTGGTTTTATCTTTGTATTTTTGTGATTTTGCCAGTCAGTTCAACTGGTCTACTTCCATGCTGTTCCCTTCTCTTTTAATTTCTGATTATTAATTTAAACTAGGGGCAGGACAAAACCTTTCTGTTTATTTGCCTAGACTAATTTAAATGTCAATGAAACAAGTAATTATCATAACAGTTTTTTCTTTTATTCTGAATGTCTGGGGGGAAAAAAATCTCCATTTTCCACATCTGTGATTTATTTTGTTGCTTTTTTCCTTCAGTTAGTGGGACCCATTGAAGTTCTTCATCAGGCACGAGCCTGTGTTGACTACAAGGGAGGGAAGAATGAACTGACTGTCAAACAGGGGGATAAGATTGAAATCATTCGCCTCACAGACAACCCAGAAGGAAAGTGGCTCGGTAGAATAGGAGGATGCTGTGAGTTCTGTTTCTTCCTTGTGCTCCTGAATGTTTTCACTATATGACAGCAAACATGTGAGCATTACACCAAAGAGAAGCCTTACCAAAGCTGATTAACTGGCCACCAAATTACCTCAGCTCACCCTCCTGCGCCCAGCTAGCATGCAAGGTTTAGTGCATACTGAAGTTATTGCAAAACATGATGTCACATTTATAGGCACTAGAATAAGACAGGTACAGTATGCTGGGACCTTCATTGACACACTGAGAGGAAATTCCCTGACAGCTTTGCAATGGCATCAGAATTTTGCACCCTGCAAGTAACAAGGATAACATTTTTTCACGTCTTTCCATTAGTCATAACACTGGTGTTCCTAAAACAGAAATGGAGACTATAAGGACCAGTTCTAAGTCTTTATCTTGTTCCTACTCCTATGGAAAGTATCTAACTGATTTCTAGTTTTTATTTTGTCTGAAATCTATTTCTCTAATTGTATAAATATCCACAGATCAGTGGATCTGTGAGTGTGATAAAGGGGTTGATTATCTGGCTCCTGGGTTATAAAAGACTGATCCATTAAATCAATCAAAATTATGAAAAACACTTGCATGATTTTTAAGAAGACTATCTAAAATTCTCCTCAGGAGATACAGGGTTCCTCATCTCAGGCCAAGTGTTCTGATGACCTAAAATATGCACAAGACTGCAGTGGTTCCAAGGCTAGTTGAGAAATGGAGTCTACCTCATGATTCCTGGAGTTTGCACAGAAAATTCTGAGCTGACAGCTGAGAAGCAAATAAGGATGAAATTAACTGGACACCACCTGAGGAAGGTTTAGTGGGGAGACAGATCTGAGATTTGTATTTGTGTTGGCAGGTGGAAAGTCAAGCTTAGGCTGCTTGGAATGAGATATTTCTTTGAAAGTTTTCAAAACTCATTAAAAAAAATCAGTTCTGAACCTTCTGTTAAACTCATCCCTTTACCATGACCTTTTAAAACAGTCTCTGCCTAATGATTTCATTCCTTTAGGTGGGTACATTAAAACAACCATGGTAGAGATTGATTATGATTCTTTGAAAAGAAAGCAACAAGCACCTACTGGAGCTGATGTGAAATTTTCAGAGAGTGACATGGATGTGTATGATGACGTTGGTCAGGAGGAGAGCTCAATGAGGTATGTATAAGGAATACCTGAAAAGAAACAAATGATTCATCCCAGTCAGCCTAGCCAGGGGAAGTTTTACAACAACAAAGCCAACTCTTGTCATGGAACAGCCATTTGTATAAGAAACATGTAAGTTCGTTAGAGGAACATAAATGAACTGGTCAGAGGAACATAAATGAATTCTAGAATCCAGTATCTGTAAGCTCTCATATTCAGGAGGAATTTATACTATTGGAACAGGATCTACACTGTTGCAGTCCAAAAGAGAACAAATTACAAACCATACAGGATCACAAATCACTGGTAGGAAGTGTAGTTCTCTTCACTCCCTCTCTTCTCTCATTCTGCCTTTTGAAGTCATGTAGTCCTTTTTCTAGCACAAAATAATAAAAGACTCTAAAAGCAATTCACTGCACCAGGGAATTCCTGATCACCCTCATTGCTTTCATAAGCCTTAGTGTGAGTCCATAAGTCTTACTACCCATCTCTTTCTGAAGAGAAGGGACTTCTGGAATCAAGTCTAGGATGGCCCTTCAGGAAAGAGTGTGGCTAATGAGTTTAATCCTGAAAGTAAGGCCTCTCAAATTCTATGAGATGAGTATGAGCTTTTTTGACTGTTTTTGGCTTCACTAGAAGCTTATTCTCTGTGGCACAATCTCACATGCATTTGCAATGCAGTGCTCCATTGCAGACTCTCTACTTCAATGTGTCATCTTTTTCATGTCAAATAGATCTGCAGCTAAGATTTTCTTGGCACACTTCTCTAAGTGCCACCTCCAGCAGAAGATCAGGTTTGCAGGAGGGGAAATATCCTAGTAACCTTGTGACAAGAGTCAAGGCTATCACATAACCTAGCATGATGGTGGTACCCTCCGTTACCAGACCTCACATAAAGGCCTGCTTCTGAAATGTGATGCTACAAACCAGTGCTCATTCTCCACTACGTGTCCTGATGTGCAGAAACACAAAGCCTGGGATAAGTGATCTGCATTTGGGTGTAAAGAATTTCAGTGTGTAGGACAACCACCTTGAGACAGCCATTACACTGCTTTCACTGCTTCCCATTAGGCTCCTTAACTTAGTAGGCCTGCCTGGAATAAAAAGACTGCAGCTGGCTGGCTGCTGGGTGCAGCTGATCCTCAGCTGATAGAACATCCCCACTGAGCTCCTGAAACAGCACTTGGAAAAGTTTGCCTTCAGGATGGCATTCCTGAGCAACCAATCTGATACTTTGCCAGGTTGCTCCATATCAGTTTTCCTCCCTGCACATTGGTCTCATAGCATCATGACCTAGCCAGGAGACTTGAGATAGTTGTTCTACATTTCAGGTAACCTCAGCAATAGTTACCTCATTGCAGAAGTATCTTTGGCCAACCCTTTTCACTATGGTAAGAATTATAATTAACCACCTCAATGCAAGGAATTTAGAAAATCTATTGAATTCAAAAGCAAACATTAATACCGACGCTTTTGTGTACTAAAATAATAGTGTATTCCAAGGAACTTCGAAGGATGAATGATTGGCTCAGATTCATTAAATCCTTTAAGCTGTATTTTAACATTTTTATCTTCTCTAGTGATTAATAGCATTCTGTTCAGTTCATGAGCATGAATTATTGGAAGGTCTGACATACATCAACATGTTTTGAAACCACTGTAAAAATGCCATTCTAAAAAAATCTCTTGACCAAATAGTATTAGCTCATTATCAGGAGTATTGCTAATATTCCAAAATTAATAAGTGATCACGGCTGTTGTATTTCAGGAGTTCTTGGCACAAAAGTTTAACAAATAACTTGTTTTGATGTATAATTTTAAGTAAGACTCTAACCTGGAAATAATCTCAGCTACTGTGAAACTCACAGGGCTTTCTCTACTACTATTAGAACATGGCTAACATGGAAACTTTGAAATGTTAGAAACATGCAGTTAGAGGTTTAAATTGTACCCAGTGAAAGATAGTTGAGCAATACATTGATTTGTTTAACACTTCATTTCATGAAGATCCTCTCATAAGGAATGAATCTGAAGGTCTGGATGCACTCTGTAGTGTTCAGTTGGATTATATTTTTATTCCCATCAAGTCAGACTACATGACTCCTAAAGGTCCCCTCCAACATAAATTATCCTATGACCCAAAGGCATATTTTGCACTTTAGTTTAAAGATATCAACAGGAATATAAAGTATATTCTTTATATAGTAAATCTTTACAGCTGTAGACGTCAATTTGGATTTTGTTGAAAAATGACACTTCACTGGAAATTGCTAACAATTGCTAACAATTAGGACACAATATTCTGCTTATACGAAAAAGTGCACCTTCCCTGGCTTGAAATATTTGCATTGATTTGTGAAAACTGAGAATTTGTTTCCCAGCTTTACTTATAAAATACTAAGGATTGTACTGATTAACTTTTTATTCCCCTTTCAGTTCCTTTCAGTGATTTATTAAAATACTCTTTTATGATTTATAACTATTTATTTTCAAGGAAAAAAGCAAAAAGCAATGGAGCATTTTTCCTGCTTTATTAGTAAGAGTTAATTTTTCTTCATCTAGGAGATAGTTCAAGTCTGAACTAGATTACACATTTCTTTGGCATTAGTGAGAATGCAAACTACTTATCTGACTGTAAGAAACTGATGTGTGGTGAAAGCAGAGAGAAAGGAAGAGCTGGCACATTTAGTTGTTGCCCATATAGAAAACACAAGCACGTGTCTGAGCTTCCAGTGTATGTTGTAATGTTCAGCTGACATGTACACAAGTGCCAAGGCCAAAAGTTTTACAATTAATAACTGCAAAGGGATGGGTGATCATGATGTTTTCTTTTACTCAAGGATGACTGCTCTTCTCTAAAATATCTTTTATTTGCTTTTCCAGCCTGAGCGCTGACAGTAGCGGAGCTGGAAGTAAGTTCTACATATACATTTTGGGGGAGTTGTTAGTGTGTATTTCTTACAGCTTCCAAATAATGCACTAATTATCCATAAGCATATTAAATGTTTGCTAATGGGCAACAAACAAGGAAGTATAGTGGCCAAATGAACTTCCCCACCGCTTACAGGAACCTTAGTGAGACAGAAGTTTTGTCTTCAGATACTGTGAATCACTAGCAAGACAGATGACCGAACTTTGTTCTTGTGTGTGTGCGAAGGTAAATCATACCCAAAACAGCACAGATATAGCTGTCAAAATACTAAGATGAGCAAGGGTTTCTGTGCGGGAGAAATCTAGTTCTGAAAAAGCCAGTAATGCTACCAAATAAAACTGCGCTTTGCTAACAGAGTTAACTTCAGTTACAGTAACACACTGGAGTCCCAGATGCAGCAGCCCCACATGGTCAAGAACACACATTCAAACCCAGTTTCCCCTTTGGTAGCCTATATATTTATATAGCATTCTCTGCTGATCACAAGAGCACAGCTCATCTTCTCAGCTTAGAGTTTTCTACTGGTCATGGTAGAAGCATCCCTTGGCAGTACTGAATGGAGCTGCTGCCAGCTAAGTACAGATTTCAGTGATTACTCTGACCAGTGGCTGGAATTGGACATGCAAACTGAGCTAACCCTGCGCTGAAGGAGGTGGGGCCCAAAGGTCAAAGCTGAGACCAAAATGGGGAGCTTACATCTCACTTGTCTCTGACTTCTGTGGATGAAGACAAGTTGACCCTTGCTGAGAGTGTTGGTCTGACATCTTCAGTTGTCACTTGAGTCAGACATGAAAATTTAAAGGTCATCCTAATGTCTGGGCCGAATCAATCATTTAGAATTTCATTGACTACAGCACAGAAGCATTTGTATTCAGTATCCATGCTCTTGTGATTGGCAATGCCACATTAAAATTCTATGGATGGCATTCCCAGCTGGGATAAGTTTAAATCACTGTTTTAAAAAAACAGACTGTGCTGGTTTACAGAAATATTCCATTTACAAGGATATTGCCTAAACTGCACACACATCTGATATAGTTAAGAGGCCTGTAATGAATACCCTATTCTGCAGCATTAAATATATAAAATATATATTATATATGTTATATATATTATATTAAATATATTTGCATTAATTCACTGTTTGATCTGTCAAAGATGTGTTCCCATTTCCTCCACCTCCTTCCAATGAAGATATTTACGATGAAATTGGTGATGGAGAGCCCATAGCAAGGTAAGTTTTTATACAATTTATTATACCTTAACAGAATGTTTTCAGGTTTTAGTATTTTTTAATTAGACATAACAATTAGCAAGTATTAGGATGATCAGGAAGTGGGTATACATCAGTATGAATTTGTGAAGCTAAACTAAAAATATTCTTCTGTCTTTTGGAGAAGGTTTGTTCTGTAATTAATTTTGGTAGGTCAGCAAAAGCAGTTGCAATGATGAAAATCTCCAAATCTCCAAGTAGACAGAATAGATCTGAAATCAAAACAACAAACTAAATTGCTAGCAACCTGAGTAACAGCATGAAAACAGTAAGCCACTAGATTAATATCTATACTACAAATACATCTCAGTATCTACAAGCAACATAATGCACATATTTCTAGTTTAGCATTTTAGCATTTGGGTAAGTGACCTCACTTCGTGGTATATATACATTGTTGGCATTAATGATAATTATATGCATCAATGGATAATTTAAACTGGGCCTTATAAAAAGAACATTACATTTTACATTGTGATAATCGCATGCATACTCCAAAGGTCTGTATCACAGGATGAAGATAAGAATGGTATCTGGTCCTGGGGAATCTTGAAGAGGCTAAAGGTCAAAGATGACAAAAAGAAAAGTATACGAGAAAAAACAACCAAAGGCAATGGGGCAGAAGATAATGGAAATTTGTTGTAAGAGTCTGCCAGGAAATCACAGTGCACATTAACTAATTCTAATAAATCATTGATCACATGCTACTAACATGTCCTCACAGCAGCCTAATGAATCATACATAAAATTGCAGCTCAGGGTGATACTTTCTGCAAAAACACTGAGCTTTCTTTTCACCTGCATAATGATTCTCTTAACAAGCTGTATTTTGCAAAAGTCTAGTAATTAAAATATGCCAAATTTTCTTTTCAGTGAAAAGCACCAAAATAATCCATCACCTTTGTGCCACTCTGGTGATGCAAACTTGCTGTATCCTCAGTTAGAATGTACTTTGCTTACCAGTACAATGTACATGAGATAAACTGGTAGATCTAGACCCGTTAATCCAAATTCTAGGAATAATCTGCCAAACAGAAAAATGCAAAAATTGTCTTCTACCCATCTGACCTAGAGGTTAGATCAGCAACTGGTGTTTTTATCACCTGTGTTAGTCATTCAGTTCTGAAAAAGTTTACTTTGATTCAGTGGTAAAAAATACATTTAGTCACTAAACATTGTTGGTGTCGGTGGCACTTCAAAATGGCTGGAGATTACTTGTAGCCCGGTGTTGCAAGTTTTTTAAATTATTTATGTTACAAAAAGCCTGTGAATGTGATATAAATACTTAATAAGCTTTCTTTCCTCCCCCCCTCCTCCCCCCAGCACGTCTCCTTCAACAAACCTGTCTGGAAAAGGTAATTAATAACCTATTGTTCAGTGTCTGTATTGATTCCTGACCCTTTTTTTCTGTATATGTTGCTCTGTATCATTCTAGTCACAAAAATACATCCAAGGAAGGAAACAGGATTTCCTATTGCTTACCCAGTTCCAGTAAACAAATTTCAAATATTGTGACTGATTTGCTACAGACAAGGAGATACGTATATATTGCAGGCTCTCTAGAAAACAATTTAATGTATTTAATGTGATTTTCCTATGTGAGATTTACACTATTTCATTTTATTGGAACTTAATTTGAACAGATACACTTGGAAAGAAGCATTCAGTGAAAGACTTCAAAAGTGAATAGCGATGTTTGCTGTTACTTTTATCACTTGCAGTATCCCTGTGAAATAATAAATACTCATAACCATTGGCTCAGCCATGGAATAAAAAGCAACTTCTTCCAATTTTTGAGGCTGTTTTCAGGACTGAGTTGTAAACCTTTTATATCCTACTGATTTTTCTAGGCATTGATTTGATGAGCTGAAGAATTGCTTCTTCTCTACAAATACACTGAATGTGATTCAAAGAATATTCTCGGGCTAAGATTTTTTTTTGCTGCTTTGGTATTGCAATATGGCCTAAAAACTAACATACACGGGATTCATATCCACTTCTAAGTAATGCTGGATTGACAAGAGTGCTATAGAAGTCCTGAAATATACATTAAAATCAGACTCCAAAAATATATCTTGATGCACTATAGTGGGACACAGATTAATTGAAGTGAAGATTAAAGGCTATTGCATTAGCCAGCATGTGCTAAAACTTGCTTAAGCTTCAGAAGATTAAAATTTCAGTGACTACTGGTTATTACTATTAAAGAGTCTTAATCTGAAAAGACTGGGTAGTGTTGCACAGTAGATTGTGCTAAACAGAATCCACAGTTACTATAGACAGTAAATGGCTACAGTACTTGCCTTACTTTCTTGTCAACTTCAGTAAAATACCATAGATTGTAACACAATGTATTCCAAGTTTCACATATTAATGTTTCATTCTCTAAATACTCGTATTTCAGATTGTGGAGAGGATGTGTATGATGACGTGGATTCTTCAGACTTCCCTCCACCACCGCCTGATGCTATGTAAGTGGAAATATTATGATTAGAAATCTAACACATTGAGACACATTTTTCAAGTATTTACTAGAGGCATATTGCTACTAATGTCTGCTTTATTTGGTGTTGTCAGGTTTTGTAGTTGTCACAAACCAAATGGCAGTTGAATGCTCCTTCCTCCATTTCAGATTGAAACAATAATTAGACTATAGAAAAAGTAAGAGGTAGAAATGGATGCATGGCCTAAAGGTATTTTTCATTGCAGATTCTCTGCATGCAGTTCTTCTATCAAAATTCGGGGACTGTTAGGATACATACTTGATTTCAGCTGCTCCAGTATTTTAAGAGAAAAGGAGACAGGGCTCTGTGTTATAAGTATGAAATACATCTGGAGGGGCAAAGTTCAGCTTGGAAGACTCTTATTCTGGACTAGAAAATTATAGTCATCTCTGGAGCACAGACTGTTATGAGCACAGACGCGTCTGTGATGATGACTGCAAAATGTCACGTTCTGGTGTCAATTACTCCACTCAGATGGAGCAACAGAGTGCCCTACGATAATCTAGTCTGGAGATATTAAAACAGAGAAAGTTCTTTGGACTGTGTATCCAAATGGAAACACATAGTCCTTCTAACCTAAGTCTAGGTTAGTTCACACACACACAAACATTCATCACCAATGAAACTGTCATCCACAACTCCTACAGAGATCAGAAGGATCAAAAAGGAGAATCACTCTTTACAGTCCCAGGGGTAGTGTCAGAAAGGACAGTTAGGGCATGAAACACTTCCATGCTGCTTGGCAGAAGGCAACACTATCAGGGATTTGGAAAAAAACCAACAGAACTTGAAATGGGTTATGTAATACAGATTCCCCGGTGCAGCAAGGTTTTTTATGGCCATATAGGACTAACATATGTAAGGCTGTTAACATATGTAAGTGAGACACTTATTGCCCAAAGACGCACAGACTTCATAAAAATTGCTCCTTGCTGAGAAATTCTAAAGTGCCGTAGCAGATAGATAGATACTTAATACTTCAATATTCATTTTTGTGATAATATATTAACATCAGAGAAAAACAGGAAAGACAACCCCAGCTTTTTATTAATTTTGAAATAAAATCTATATTTAATTTATTAATCTGTATTACCCATACTAGTTTTGCAGAGCAACAAAAACATGATAAAGACACACGAAAGAAAATGCATTTTCACCAAAATTATCAGAAGGCTTACCAGTACCTCAGATGTGCTGCTGATTTGGTTTTATCTGTAACCTCTTGCTTTAGCTCATCGAATCTAGAAAGCTTTGGAAAAAGGAAATTGGATGAAGAAGATGTACAAAAGCATAAGAAGATGGAAAAAGAAGAGAAACAATTCAAAGTAAGTTTTGTTCAAAGTAAAGTTTTTTTCCATAAAATATAAAAACTAAAATATCTATATGATGTGCTTTAATTTGTGTCCCTTAATCCTTTGGAAGATAAAGTATTACTACTTGTAATAACAGTGGTCTGAGCATCTGCAAGCATGGGCACATACTATATAGCATACACAATTATTTGCCTAATTTTAGAAAATTTAGTAAAAACTGCATGAGCACAAGCTGTACATTAATGGTTTTTAACGAGCACTTTTTTTTTTCAGCATGTAGGTGAAATAAAAGTTCTTTTCTCTACTACCACAATTCAGAATTTGCCTAAAAGAAGATGGGGATCTAAAGAATTACATATTAAACCGGGAGAGTCTCTTGATATTATAGAGAGTACGGATGACACCAAGGTCCTGTGCCGTAACAAAGAGGGAAAATGTAAGTTTTATGAAAAAACTGCAGTATATATCAAATTATCAGAGAATGATTGAGTTGGAATGTGTGAAAACTCCCTTCCCTAACATATCCAAGTAGAACCTAGTACTTGTCTTTTACCTTGTCTGGTAGTTGACAAGAGGCAGACTGTTTTTATTTCATTGCTCTGTTTTAAGAGCAGATTGCCTTAGAAAAACCTAAAACACTCCAAGGAACAAAATATACCAAATATGAGAACAATAGGCAACTTCATTATGTAAATTTTACTTTGCATCAACTAGGATCAGCAGATGTTTCTGTTGCTTCTGTCTGTCCTTCTTTGCCAGAAGGAGTATAGCTATGTTACCCCATAGAGTCTAGTAAAAGTAAAGTAGGTCCTTGCTGCACCTTTGGATAACACTTGCCCATTGATTGCAGCCAAGAGAAAATCAGTAACAATACTCTTACTTTTGGTTGCAAGAGATGCAGTTTAATCTTTTCAACAGGTGGGGGGAAAATTGCTTAGGAGTCTTCCCCCTGGCCCCTAGCTGATCCAAGGCATATGCCCTTGTTGGCACATCTGCTTGTTCTGGGAGCTGCACGAGGCCTTCAAGTGTTTCTTTGAAGCCCTTGGCTAGGGTTTGTATTGTGTCCCAGGTTGGACTTGGCTCACCCACAGGGAACCCCCCAAAAGGGAAAAAGAAAGGGAAAGGGAAAAAAGGGAAAAAGGGACAAAAATCAAATACTTTCCTCAGATTGCAGAGAACCCACCAACAACCCCTGGCACTATCCGCTTCTCAAGGCCAACCAGGCGCACCAGGCCTCACTCCTTCACCAGGCAGAATGATAGCAAAGAACCTTCGCTTTCAGTTCGCTGGAAGAAAGAGGGTGAAAGCTTCCTCTCCCTTCTTATTTATACCCTTGCTTAGGTACAAAGTGTATGGAATTCTGGGAACATGGCCTTGGTTCCTTGGTTACAGCCTGGTTACCAAGGAAGGCCTAGACTCAAAACCACTACATTCTCCACCCTTTATTCCATACTATTTTACGTAACACATCTCGCATTTGCCTATATCCCACATATATACATATATATAAAATCTTTATTTAATCTTTCAAAGCAGACGTCTTATTGTCGCAGATCCTCACTAACACAATCTCAGTTCAATTTGGATCTTTGGCTCTTTCTTGGTCACAATCACAGTTCTGGTTTAGGGCTGGTTCACTGTCTCATCATCAGATACCAGTATCAGCTTTGGTCAGGTCTCTCTCATTTGGTGACTGGTCTCCTGTAAAACACAACTTGAAGCACAGAATTAGTTTTTCCCCAAGGATAAATTTCCTTGAGGCACACACTGAATCTTTCCATCTTTCCTCATCACCCACCAGGTATAACCTGGCCCTTGAGAGAAGACAACTCCACAAATGGGTTTGTCTTGGCCCAAGGTAGGGGCAATCCAAACAGCCTTACCCAACATACCTCTTTAGGTGAATCACGGAACTTTGTCTCCGTCTACAATGTGGAGGGATTCTGCTTGGGCAGGGCCAGCTCGGTTGACAGAGCCTTTAGTATTAACTAATAAGGTGGCCTTGGCTAAGTGCTTATCCCAATTCTTGAAAGTTCCCCCACATAGTGCCTTTAGAGTTGTTTTTAACAGTCCATTATACCTTTCAACTTTTCCAGCAGCAGGTGCGTGATATGGAATGTGATAGACCCATTCAATACCATGCTCCCGTGCCCAAGTGGCCACCAGATTATTCTTGAAATGAGTCCCATTGTCCGACTCAATTCGCTCTGGAGTGCCATGTCTCCACAGGACCTGCTTTTCAAGACCCAGAATAGTATTCCGGGCTTTTGCATGGGGCACTGAATAAGCCTCCAACCATCCAGTCGTTGCTTCCACCATGGTAAGCACATAGTGTTTACCTTGGAGGGTTTGTGGCAACATGATGTAATCGACTTGCCATGCTTCCCCATATTTATATTTGTCCCAGCGTCCACCATACCCCAGAGGCTTCAATCTTCTTGCCTGTTTAATGGCAGCACAGGTTTCTCAATTGTGGATAACCTGGGAAATAGTGTCCATTGTTAAGTCCACCCCTCAGTCTCATGCCCATCTATAGGTGGCATCTCAGCCCTGATGGCCCGAAGCATCATGGGCCCATCAAGCTAGGAACAACTCTCCCTTATGTTGCCCATTTAGGTCTACTTGTGACACCTCAATTTTTGCAGCTCGATCCACTTGTCTGTTGTTATGATGTTCTTCGTTGGCTCGACTTTTGGGTACATGGGCATCTACATGGTGGACTCACATCCAGTTTCTTTACTCTAGAAGTGATGTCCTACCACAAATCAGCAGCCTAGATGGGTCTTCCTCTACGCTTCCAACTCATCTTCTTCCATTGTTCTAGCCATCTCCAGAGGGCATTGGCTATCATCCATGAGCCGGCGTAGATGTAGAGCCTTGGCCATCCTTCTCTTTCTGCGATGTCCAGGGCCAATTGCATGGCTTTGAGTTCCACAAACAGATTCAATTCGCCTTTACCTTCAGTGGCCTCTGCCACTCAGTGGGTGGGACTCCAAATGGCTGCTTTCCACTTCCAGTTCCCTCCTATAATACAGAAAGAACCATCAGTGAAAAGGGTATAACACATCTCTTCATCTGGCAGTGGTCACCCTCGTGTTTCACCAGGCACCTTTTGCCAAAGGCTCCAGGAGGGACTGTTATCTCCAGCTGCAGAGTAAAGTAGATTCTTTACATCTGGTCCTGTCCTAACTGGTCCAAGAGCCACGGCATGTGCAATCTCTTGCTTGATCTGCCTGAAAGCCTGCTGTTGTTCAGGACCCCATTGAAAATCGTTCTTTTTATGGGTCACCAAGTAAAGAGGCCTTACAATTTGGCTGTACTCGGGGATGTGCATCCTCCAGAAGCCTATGATTCCCAGAAAAGCTTGGATCTCTTTTTGTCGGTGGAGCCATTGCTACAATTTTATTGATAATGTCGGTTGGAATCTGGCGCCTTCCATCTTGCCATTTCACCCCTAAGAACTGGATCTCTCTGGAAGGTCCCTTGACCTTACTCTTCTTGATGGCTAAACCGACTTTGAGGAGAATCTGGATAATCTTCTCTCCTTTCTCAAAAACATCCTTGGCTGTGTCCCCCCATACAAGGATGCCGTCAATGTACTGTATGTGTTTTGGGGCCTCACCCTTCTCCAGTACAACCTGAATCAACCTATGGCAGATGGCGAGACTGTGTTTCTATCCCTGGGGCAGCCAATTCCAGGTGTATTGCACGCCCCTCCACACGAAAGCAAACTGCAGCCTGCACTCTGCTGCCAAGGAAATGGAGAAAAACACATTTGCAATGTCAATAGTGGCGTAGCACCTCTCTGCCTTGGACTCCAGCTCATATTGGAGCTCCAACACGTCTGGCACAGCGGCACTCAATGGTGGTGTGACTTCATTCAAGCCATGATAGTCCACTGTCAATCTCCATTCGCCATCGGATTTGCGTACAGGCCAAATGGGGCTGTTGAAAGGTGAGTGTGTTCTACTGACCACCCCTTGACTCTCCAACTTCTGGATCATCTTATGAATGGGGATAACAGCATCTCAATTCATCCGGTACTGTCACCTATGCACTGCTGTAGTGGCTATTGGCACTTGTTAACAGTCAACTCGCAGGAATCCTGCAACAGAAGGATCTTCTGAGAGGCCAGGCAGGGCAGAAAATTGCTTGGATTTCTTCTCAGTCACCGTGGCTACACCAAAAGCCCATCGGTACCCCTTTGGGTCCTTGAAGTATCCTCTTCTGAGGTAATCAGTACCAAGGATACAAGGGGCTTCTGGCCCCATCACAATGGGATGCTTTTCCCATTGGTCTCCAGTTAAGCTTACTTCAGCCTCCACCACTGACAACTCTTGCGACCTTCCTGTCACTTCAGATATAAAAACAGTCTCTGTAGTCTTATGTTCAGACGGCATCAATGTACACTGGGCACCGGTATCTATCAAAGCCCGGTATCTCTGTGGATCCGATGTGCCAGGCCATCGAACCCACACAGCCCAGTAAACCCGATTATCCTTCTGGTCCCTTTCCTTCTCCTGGCAGAAGGCAGGGCCCCTCTATTGGTCCTTGTCAGAGCATTCACTGTCAGATTTCCTCTTTGCTCCACCAGAGGCCTTCTTGTCGTCACAGAAGTGGACTTCAGCCTTCTTGTGTCTTGGAGATCGCAATTGCTTTTCCAAGAAATCTGCATCAACCACATAGACAAATTTCTTATTGGCTTTCTTCTGCTTCAACTCTCTTACTCTGGCCTCAAGTTTGGAATTGGGTTCCCCATCCTACTTTTTCATGTTCTCTCCCTGTTTACGCAGGTAAGACCACAGTTGGTTACGTGATTTGCGTTTAAGGCCTTCCCTCCTGCGTGTAAGGGGAGGAGTTGTTGACTGAGATCTGGACCAAGATCAAGATCGAGGTCAAACTCGTGGTCTAGACCACTTTACTGGTCTGTCTCTGTAGTGTCGGTAATCTCTGTCATCTCTGTCTTCGTAGTCATCCTCATATCTGGAATATTCATGATCTCTCTCCATGCTTTCCCTAGAGTGGGAGGGTTGATGTCGGACATCAGACAGATCTTCCAAATTCTCCACTATGCTCTGTATCCATTGACACATGGTTTCTACATCCTGTTCATCTGCCCTTGGATGGAATACTGAGATCAAGCAGTTGATGTATGGTGCAGGGGCACCTTTAATCACTTTTCTCCACGTTGGATTTGTACATGGGAGATTCATGGGGTCTGAAATATCGTAATAGTCCGGATTACAATAGATGAGTTCAAGCATGGTCAATTCCTGCAGGTATTGCAGTCGTCCACTTTCCTGGAGAACTCGGTAAATATTCTTTAAATGGAGATATCTCTCTCTCACAGCATTAAGGATCCAGAGCCAGAGACTATGATTATATGGCTCTCTTGCAATTCCTTGTTTGATCTCACGGTCTCGAGCCAGGGATCCC